AGAGAGAGAGAGAGAGAGAGAGAGAGAGAGAGAGAGAGAGAGAGAGAGAGAGAGAGAGAGAGAGAGAGAGAGAGAGAGAGAGAGAGAGATTGTGAAATGGGAGATTCAGCGTGTTTGTATGGACATATACAGAGTGGGGGAAAGGTGGAGGGAGAGAGGTCTGTGCGGGTGTGCGCAGTGTGTTCCGGTTTATCTAACAATTAATTAATCAAACAATTAAGCAATAATGAATCGACGAACTCTGTTAATGAATCAAGCAATCAATCGGTCGATCAGGCTATGAACAATCCATGATCAATCAGTCAATCAATCAATCAATCAATCAATCGACTAATCAATCACGTGTGAATTGAAAACCGTGGATTGACGATTGATGTGAGCTGTGGGTAGTGCCCTGTTAATTGAAAATTGTTACATTAACGGATCGAATAATCAGTCTACAAATCTACCAATCACTTAGATCGATCGATTGGATGATCGATCAATCAATGCAAGATTGGGTAGTCTACCAGGCTACCAGCTGATCCTTGTATTAATTAATCAATTAACATATCAACCCATTCATCAATGCATGCGGAATGGGTCGCTCAATCAGTCGATCAGTGAATTAATCAATTTTATCATAATATTAGCAAAGTAATCAATTCACAACTTAAAAAAAACATGATATCCATTAATTAACATTTTTTCGTGAAGCAATCCTCGTCGTTGATAGCCAAGCACGTTCTTCCACGGCCATACATCGTTACTCGATTGTCTCCAGAGGAGCTATCTTCATATGATTGCAGGCAAGATAGTCGTTAGCTTTGAAGTACCTTAGGACGGATGGACAGGGACAATTTGATTCGTCACAGGCCCGCCTTTACCTTGGCCCTTATTGATCTATGAGCTTACCTGTGAATTATTATTAATTTATTATTATTTTGATATTTTCTAACATAAACTTCAGTTTCCAAATAATTTTTGTACCGAAAAAATAAAAATAAAAAAATTGTGTCTCGGCAGCTGGTGTTGTGAGAGGCTGCTGGTGCTATGTATGAACAGGTGGACCGTCCTCTTTCTCAGTTTTCTTTGCTTTGTTTTTCCATTTTGTAGCCGCTGATTATCATTTTCGTGATTGCATGTTCTTCTGGGATTGAAGATACAGTCGCATGCCGTTTCACATCAGGGCATACTTGCAAGTTGCAAGACACCGTTAGCCTTTTTGGTTGTAATCTGGCCGTAATGCAGGTTAAGGTACATCTAGAAAATATGGGCGATGGTTCTAGCTATTCTTTCAGGCATTTTAGAGTAGTAGCTGTAATCTGGCCGTAATGCAGGTCAAAGTTCGTCTAGAAAATGCACGTCACTGGGCGCAGGTAGAATGGAAAGGGCAAGGTAAGTACCCGAGGCTGGGGAAGTTTGAAATGGCGCGCTGGGCCCAGGTAGAAACGACACTTGCAATGCAATGTGGACACATTGAGCGCCTGATTCAGACGGTTTCAGACATCTGCTGTCTGCCTGCTGCGTGAGTTTGGTGGAGAGGCAACTTGCTCTCTCTCTCTCTCTCTCTCTCTCTCTCTCTCTCTGTGTGTGTGTGTGTGTGTGTGGCTTGTGCCGCTGACGTGTGACACGCGGATTCCGAGCACATCGAAGGAGCGAGCTTGGTGGAAAGACAACTCTCTCTCTCTCTCTCACACACACACACACACACACACACACACAAATAATGCCTCCTCTATCATTCAAGCATGTACAAATGACGGGCTGCGCACCCGTGCCCTCACGGCAAGTCAATATGCTTCCCAGCAATTTTTCTATGATGCGTCTGTGCAAGCGCTGCGAATGGACTGCATGCCAGGTGAAAAACAGGCCGTTGTTGCCTGGATGAATTCGGTTGCAGAAGATGAATTCGGGTACATCCCACAGGGCATCACGTGGCGCGTGCACAGCGGCGTTGCAGAAGAATGGCTGGGAAACGTACTGGGTCAAGGGTCGTAATGGGCACCCCGTGTTCCTAGGGAAGCAGTAGCTGGCTTTAGGAAAGACAATGCTAAGGTCAAACTTGGGCGTGGTAGTCAAAGAGTGGAAGATTTCTCAGGAGTCAAGCATGGCCACAGATGTCACACGCATCCAAGGGCCCAGCGCAGGCAGGGCAATCCGAGTCAACACCGCAAATAAGCGGCTTGCCCCGGTGTACTCATTCAATCTGCCTAGTGCTGCTTGATGCTGCAGCGCTGCATCAAGAGCACGAGCACTGGAGGGAGGGAGAGCTGAGTGAGGGTGGGTGCTTGAAGCCATAGCTAGTAGCTTAGAGGTAGAGAGAGTGAGATTGAGGGAGATCAAGCCTGTGCAGATGTGTGTGTGTGTGTGTGTGTGTGTGTGTGTGTGTGTGTGTGTGATAGATAGATAGATAGATAGATAGATAGATAGATAGATAGATAGA